CACATTAAAGAGGTGAAAACATCCCTTGAAAATAAAGAAAAACAGTTGATGAAGTCGCAGCAGGAATGGGATAAGGTAAGTGAATCTGCTTACAAACAGTTTATCTATGTTTATCCATTGTACTGTAAGTCATACCTTTTGTTCATATTTTCAGAATAAAGAAGCATTGACTTTGAGAATCAAAGGGCTTGAAATGCAGCAAGAACAGTTGACTCAGAGTTTGGCATTGGCGCAGCAGCAGATAGAAGACAAGGTAAGAATATTGTYTTGTTCTTCTCAGTTCTGTTTGTTCCTTTATTGTTGCTGTTGTTGTTGCTTTGAATCTTCTGGTTTCTTCCTCTTGTTCCTGCTTTTTATCATACTCGACAGTTACAGTCCATCTTTTGTTTTTCACAGTGTCTTGTGCTAAATACATGTATCTTCAACTCATTCACTTTGACACACTCTCTATGTCTCCGTTTTTGCTTTCCTTCGCACAGTTTTAATTTTATATTGTACTACAGGAAACAAAAATCCAAGAGACAGAAAGAGAATTTGGAAAATTAAAAGAAGAAAAGGCAAATCTGGAAGGTCAACACGCTATGATGACACAGGTATCATAAACACAAATAACATGTTATATTATCAGGTATTATAAAACACAATTAATATGTTATATCATCAAAATTATAAAGTACATGTCTTGGTAATGAGGAAGAGAGTTAGAGAAATGTTAAACTTTTAATGAATTTCGCTTCCAACCAAAAAGCATAGCCATCTTTAAAAATACTGTAGTATTGGTCGAACTTTGATGCCATTTTTGAATTCGTATGCCTTTAGTCTTTGCAAGAGAAAAGTGCTGAAATGACAAGAGAAACAAGTCGKCTCAATGAAGAGAATGTAAGTGATTGCTGTCGTAGTAGACTCAGCTGTTGTTGTTTCCACATGAAGTTTCTTTCATGTCGAGATGATGTCAAGCCGGAGGCCCTTTCTCCATACAATTCACATCTGCACGGACTGTAAAAGAGCCCACACCTCTATCTGTTTGACTAAGGGAAAGGGTACAGCATTCCCAGCGGCGTTGTCAGGACTCACTGTCGTCGTTGGGTCACGTTAATTGGCTAACACAGACATTGCGGATAGTTACACAGACAAAAGGCGGATAAACCCTTAGGCCGCTACCTGCTGGTAGCCAGGAACAAAACTTGAGCATTGTCAATGTAAAAATAGATGAAATAGGCATTGCAAAGAACGTGAAAAAATGATAATTTGGAAAGTGTTATATATTCATTGATAAATCTATAATTTGCAGAAATCATTAAGAGATAAGATGTCACAGCAAGGTGAAACCAATAAAGAAGAGATGTCTAATTTGATGACGACATTGAGAGGAGTCAAAGAAAGACATGAGCAAGCCAAGGTATGTATTGATGGCATTGCCTAACGTTCACACTAGATAACAAATTACATTTTTTTAGCTTTTTGTTTGAAAGTGATTCATGTTTTTTATCTCTTGGGATTAAGTCTTCAAGTGTTACAACATTACAAGGGATTGCCGAAAAGTGGAGAGGGAGGGGAGGGCTCTTAATAAAGCTTGTTTATTGCGTCGTATGATATTTTGTTCAACATAAAGCAGTTTTACACTATCTTCATGACATTATCAGAACATAATGTTGCCAATCTGAGAAAAAAATTATATCTTCTGTATTTCTCAAGGTGCAAAATGARGAGAAAGATAAACAGCTACAAAGTCARAAAGAACAAGTGAGTTCTCCTGAAGTTCTTTATTGTCAGACCYGATTTTAATGCTGGGTGATGCCAAATACGCCGAGTAAATGGRACTCCTATTTGTATTTTAACTTGTTTACGTTGATTTTTTTTATTGTGTAGATTTCTCAGCTAAGTACYGATCTATCTGAAGCTCAAGACACAATGATGGAWCTTGGTGAGGTAAATACAACTTGAAAAATGTCGTTAGTGTCACTGCATAGTCCGCGTATACACTCAGTCTGTTGTGTTGTGGTAGCGTTTTTGTGTTCTTCTTCCTGACCTCAAAGGGATGAAAAGCGAAGATAAAAAAAATGCTACAAGCACTTCCCTTGCTCGTGATGGTATAATTATATATGTATAATTAGACAGAGTTTGAACTGTTGACTGTATTATGTTTGTATCGTTAGTCTCATCAGCGCAAGATAACAGCGATGGAGACCGAGATKAACGCAAAGGTGATACATGTAGCGAGCTGTCAAGGCAGTGTGTTAACTGCCAATGTTGTAATGCGCTGCAGACAAAAAWATCAATATCAATTTTAGATGAAATTGTTTCTCTTTTGTCTTTTTGCTTTTGTTTTGTTTTCTTCGCTCCTTCGAGCTTTAATCGTAATCTTTTTTCGTCTTTTTACAGGTTAAAGAGCATGATAGCTTTGTCGCCCAACTGCAGTCACAACTTGAACAGAAAGATGAGAAGTTAAATGAATATCAAAGAAAAGTTGAGGTAACCTATGAATCTGTTCATCCGACAATTCACATTGCTCTGTTACAATAAAATATTTTCCTTGCATAGAAGTCGCAATGTTCTTGTAGCAGAGCTCAATTCACTCACTTGTCTGTCCAGCTATTACCAAAAATGCTGGACAACACAATGGCAATTGTTACAGAACAATCCTCAATGTAATAGCATCAGCACAGTCGTTTCTCAATTATTTAACTTAATTATTTAACTGAAACTACTTTTATTGGAATATAGGTTCTCGAGGCTGAGCTCCAAAAGCAGTGTGAAAGTTGTAAAAACTATGAATCACAGCTGTGCAAAACACAAGCTTCGTTAAAGGTAGAATAGAGAATTCATTGCCTCAAAACCGCTATAATCTTTTATGCATAGAGGCTGCATATCAGTAGACCTCTACGTTTTTAATATGAATTTCTGTTGTAGGAATTTTATGCATAGAGGCTGTATATCAGTAGACCTCTGCGTTTTTAATATCAATTTCTGTTGTAGGAAGAGCAGGACAAAGTTCACGCCTTTGAGTCTCAGCTTCTCATCTTAACTACTGAGATAAAGGTAACATTGGTCAATAAATATTTCTTGGAGTTACTTTTTGTATTCAAACTTTTATATCAGCAGTGTAGCTKAAGATTTTCTTAGTATATATGTCCGAGAACCTGTCTTTGCGATATTTTGCTTGATTCCCACAAGTTGTAAAAGGGGTAAAAAGTTGCTTTCTGATTGGTTGAAAATCAAAGATGGCGATATTTCGTATGAGAAAAATTCGCGCAAAGGTTCTTGGGTGCATGCGAGCCTTTGATGATGGCCTACAATCGTAGCAGCGAGATATAATTCTCAAGAAGATAAAAGTTTAATTCATTTAGCAAAGAGCAAAGGGAATTAAAAAATAAAGAAATAAAGTCAACCTTGATACACACTCCATTCTTGGAATTGTGACACTTGCTCACAAGAAAAAACTATTCTAAGCAATTCAGTACATTTTGCTGTCTTTACTAGGATTTACAAGGTCAAATTAGCTCTGGAGAACAAGAACTTCAGCGAGTCAGAATAAAATCTGAAGAGACGGAGTCCAGCCTTAGGATGTCAGTAGAGCAGCTTAATGAGGTAAGTCTTCTAGTGTTACTCGGACTCATAGCTTGTCGATATCTCCTTGATGTTCTTGACGGGAGCATTAGACAAAGCATTAAACAAAAGAGTGTTAATGATTATCAAATAGCTTTAATTTATTTGATCAAACAGGTGAAGAATAATCTTGAATTGCAAATGATGAACTTGGAAAATCAACTGAAGGCAGAAAGGGATCAAGTGACGGCTCTTACATCGGAGAAGGTGAAAATGTTTCCTTGCTTTATTGAGTTTCCTTGACACGTTGGATCTCTGTGGAAAAGAACGACAGTGCGCAGACATTCTTAAAGCATGCCTTTATGCTTGGAAGTCATAATTTCACTGTTATTTCACTGTAATTTCACTAACTCTATATTGATTTTTGTATTTTCAAGGGAAATCTAGAGGATGAAGTGACGAAACATGCCAATGCCTTGATACAGCTAAGGTATGGTTTCATGAATTTTTAAAATGTTTCCTCTTCCTACCTCACCTCTTCACTATCATTTA